GGCCTGTTTGTCTTTAGTGAGTTCTGGTGCTCTCATTAGGGCCCACAGTTCTGCTCTTTGGGTTGACCATCCTTGTGGAAGGGTCTTTGCTTCTATGACCTCAAAATCAGAGACAAAGCTGCTGCCATCCATGAACAGAAGGAGATCAGGATTTTTAAGAGCCTGTCTGATAGGTTGGGTCAGCTAACAGACCACATCAAGTACCTCTAGGCAATCGTGCTCTGGGGGCTCTGCCACCGTGGGAAAGAAAGTGGTAGGATTTAGGGTTTTTACAGCTTCCAATCTTACACGTGGGTTTTCACATAATAGTTCCTGATATTGTGTCATCTAAGCATGAGTTAACCAATGTTGTCCCCCTGGCATACATCAGGTTAATAACTGAATGAGCAACTTTAACATTCAGGTTTTGCCCCAACATGAGTTTGTCTGCTTCCTTGATTAAAAGTCTGGTGGCTGCCAGGACCCTCAAACAGGGTGGCCATCCTGCCACAACTGAGTCAATTTGTTTTGAAAGGTATGCCACTAGTCTCTGCCAATGTCCAAATTCCTGGGTTAGAATACCCAGAGCCACCCACTGTTTTCATGCACGAACAGGCTGAAATCTCGTGATACATCTGGGAGTCCCAACATTGATACCTTTGTGAGTTTCATTTTTATGGTTGTGAACGCTTTTTCTTGATTAGGGCCTCAGAAAAGGGGTGCCCTTTCTTCCCCATTTGATGCTTTGTATAGAGGTCTAACACTGAGAACCCTGGGATCCATATCTGACAGAATCCTGCTGCTCCCAGACCTCTTGGACCTGCCAGTAGGTAGTGGAAACTGGAATGGCACAGACTGCCTATTTCCTTTTAGCTCTGAACATCTGTTTGCCTTGGGTAATTATGAAGCCCAAGTATTTAATTTCCTGTTGGCAAATCTGTGCCTTTTTCTTTGACACCCAGTATCCCACCTCTGCTAGTAGGCTGAGAAGGGCCCTGGTTCCCTCCCAACATTGGGTCTGTGTGGGAATGACTACCTGGAGATCATCCACATATTGGAGGACACATCCTAGGTACCATCCCAGAAACCTGGCTAAGTCAGATGCCAGCACCCCACCGAGTAAGACTGGTGAATTTTTGAAACCTTCTGGCAGTCTAGTCCAAGTGAATTGTTCTTCTGCCCCTGGGGTTGGGTTTTCCCATTCAAAGGCAAATAGAAGTTGACTATTAAGCACTAGCTAGAGACAAAAGCAGGCGTCCTTTAAATCTAGACATGTGAACCATCCTGCCTCAGATGACAGGAATCCTACTAGAGTGTATGGGTTAAGCAACACTGAATGCAGACTGATGACTGCTTCATTAATGGCTCTTAGGTCTTGTAAAGGGTGGTAATCATTTGTCCCAGACTTTTTTATGGGCAGCAGGAGAGTATTCCATGAGGACTGGCATCGTTTTAGAAGTTCCATTTGAGTAGCCTGTCCAAGTGTGTCTGGATCCCTAGGTGTGTCTCCTGTGGGACCATATACTGGCGTAATTTGATAGGTTAAGCATTAGGTCAATTAACATTGGGGGGGGGGGTTTTGCCAGACCAGGGGGGGGTTCTCTTCTGCCCAAATTGTAGGGAATTCAGCTTTTAGCTTGGGGGCCACGGTTGGCTCAACGGGAGGGGGAGTATATAACCTCTATTCTTCTCGTGGTATCATCAGGGACAAAGTCATGGGTTGAGCCTTTTCATTTAGGTGCAACTGCATCTGTCCATCCAAAGTGAAGGCTATTTCTGCACCCATCTTGACTAAGAGGTCTCTACCTAACAGTGAGACTAGGCAGTTGGGTAGATACAGGAACTCATGAACTATATGGGGGCCCCCCCCCCCCCCCCCCAGCCAGCATTGTCAGGGGCTGCAAAATGGCCTTTGGGTTTGCATCCCAGTGGCTCCTATGATGGTACTTCTCAACCCAAGAGAGGTGCCACCTTGTCACCACAGAGTGTTCGGCCCCAGTGCTGACCACGAAGCCTACTGTCTGGCTCCCTACCTTCATTTTGACAGTGCGCTCCCGGGGGCCGAATTGGATAGAGACTGGTCTTTTCTAATGAGAGTCCGCTCCTGCCAATCTGATCAGGTCAGCCTCAGGCAGCTCTGGTTGGTAGCAGCTGGGGGGAGCAGAAGTTTTTGGTTTTCCCTTTTGGTGGTTTGGGTATTTATACTTCCAGTGTCCAAATTCTTTGCAGTAGGTACCTTGATTCCATCCCAGTGGCAACTTCTTTTTTCTTCTTGAATCCCTCATGGTTTCTGTGGCCAGGAGAGCTGTTTTTTGTTTCATTCTTCAGTCTGCCTCCTTTCTGGAAGCTCTATTCTGATTTACAAAAAACTTGTTGGCGATTTTCAATAGTTCAGTGGCATTCTTTCCAGCAAACCCTTCCAATTTTTGGAGCTTCTGTCTAATGTCACTTTGGGCCTGTCCCACAAAGGCAGCATTGACCATGTGCTGGTTTGGGGGGGCTTCTGCGTTGAATGTAGCATAAACTTTGAAGGTTCCACATAATCTTTCATAGAAGTCAGCCAGACTCTCTCTGGCTTTTGGAGGACCTCAGATACCTCTTCCATGTTTGGTGGGCTTTTTGGCCCTTGCTTTTACTCTTTGTAGGAAGGCGAGTTGGTGTCTTTCTAATCTGGCCCTTCCCACTTTTGTGTTGGGGTCCCAGTGGGGCTCCTCTTTGGACATAGCTTGTCATGCTCAAGCTTCAATGTCTAGTTATCCGTCTGGTGCCTGAGTCTGGAGCCATTTTCTGGCTTCAGTGACAATTTGTCAGGGCTTTTCCGTGTTGAAGAGGGTGAGCAGAAGTTGCTTACAGTTGACCCAGGCAGGGCAGTGAGTCTGGAATATGGATTCTAGAAGACCTATCATCGCCTGTGGCTTCTCAGAGTAGGGTGGAATGGCATGTTCCCAGTTGAGGAGGTCATTAGTGGAGAATGGTTGGCAGTAGAAAATCGATCCCCCCTCTTGTAGGGTCCCATTGGAGCTTATTCTCTGGGAACCCGTAGTCACCTGCAATGGCCTCTGTATTGCCATTGGGGGCATTGGACCTTAAGCTACAGGCCTAAGGTGTCTTCCTACCAGTTCAGGTGTCTCTGGTTGGGGCAGACTGGCTGCTGGCAGAGGCAAGACCGACAGGAGCGGACTGTCAAGGAGGCAAGGTTCCACTCTCTCGACCTATTGGGTGCTGGGGGCATATGGTGGCGGAAATAGAAGCAGTTCTTTTGAATTTTCTTGAAGGATGGGGGGGAGGGGTTTTTGTTTGTTTGTTTGTTTTTTTGCTGCGAGGTCTTCTTTCCAGCCTGTGCCACTATTATCTTACATTGTCCCTTACTATTAATGCAGAATTGGACCCAAAGAGGCTTGACATGGGCTATTTCCAGCCACTGGTCAATGTATGGGAATTGATCTGGGTGGACAGGGTACCCTGTACCTTATAAACAGCTCTGACTGTAGGGACATTTAGGGTGCCCTCAGGGGCCAGATTACACAGAACATAGGCCATTCTAATTCACAGAGGGTGTGTAATTTCCCAGGTGGTAAATTTGACCCCACAGTTACCCGAAAATCCCTTTTTAAAATTCTTAATCCTACATTCCCCAAAACAGTTGGTTTTGAGGAATTTCCCCCCATTCTGGTATCTTAGATGGGTCCCTCCCAATGCACGGTGTTGCAGGACAAACATGAGGTAAGAGGTTGTTTCTCACCCTGGCATCTCCCCTTACTAGGATTAGAGGCCTCTTAGCACTGGCAGGGCGGTATAAACTCCTGACTCAGATCAGGCCCTTGTGGACCTAATTCTGCCTTAAGCCTAGGAGGTCTTCACAGAATCACAGGGCAGGGCTCACTCAGGCTCCCTAGCCCAAACACTGAAGCACGGGCACTCACACACATTCAGACAGATTGCACACTTCCACCCAGGACTTCCCTGTTCTATGCGGTGACTGTGTCGCCTGGAACGTGACCAAGCTCCCCTTCTGCCTCAGGGATGGGCCTGAACTCAGTCTGAAGTCCCTGGGGACACTTACCATCTGACGTCCTGGGACAGGCCTCTTCTGTTCCACCTGGAGTCTGTTCAAGCGCATCAGTGGTCGACTATAGATAGCCGGGACCGGCAAGGGTTGGGGTCCAGTGAAATCACCTGCAAGATGCCTTCCTTTCCATCGCAGGGGCCAGATATGAATGGCCTCTCCGCTGGCCTCCAACAACGGTGGGTCAAGGAGCCAGTGAAGCTGTTGGCTTCCAGGCCAACACTTGGCACACAGGAAGTGACAAGCGACATACACTGGGACCAGTTTACTTCGCACTGGTGCCGGCGCAGCAGAGTCGCCTCCAAAGGCTGAGCCCCAAGACCTGCCACTGGCCTTCTTTTATGCCTGGCTAGCTTCCGAGTACTTGGAAACTTTATATCGGCTGCACAGGTGGGCGGGATTGCAAAGGCGCAAGGAAAAAGGTTGGGGGGTACTGCCATTTGTGCTACGTGGGCAGTCGGCTGATGAATGGGGCAAGCAAGATTATAGAAGCAAAAGCATGCAAGGGGGGTATCGGGCCTGGGACATTTGGCTTTCCCTCTCACAGACCCCAAAAGAAAAATTTCAACATAAAAGAATCATTAATTACAGGTCCCATTAGAGAAAGATGTACACTGCGTCTCCTACAAAATACAGACCACTCCTGCAACTCAGCCAAGGAGAAACCGTCATCATCACCTTGAACCTGAATTGGCTGTTCTCCCATGGACTTTGGGTCAAAAGAAACCCTCCCACCTTCCTCCTCCTTCTCCATAAAAGAATTTCTCTTCTTTGTCGGACTTACCGATGGTTTTGCCATAGTCTGCATGTAGTGAATTGCAATGCTTTGTTTTACAATAAACCCATTTTTTGCTAGTAAAAAAACAGACTTATTTTTAACAACATAATATCTACTCTTTTTACTCACAGAGGGGCCCCAGAAAACAACCATGGGTGGGACGGGGTAGATACCTACGGCATTTCGAAACTCAGGAAAGTACCACGGCGGGATTAATGGAACCGACGAACGTCTTCCTAAAGCCGACAAACTCCGAAGGGAAACGCTGGAGTCTGAAAAGCGCGGGCCGGCGGGCGCCAGACGCTGTGTCACACGCAAGGTGGCCCGCTGGAAACACCTTCCGCCTCTACGAGGGGTCCGAGTGTTTGAGAGAGTGGGGTGGGGAGAGAGTCCAGCTAGGGACCTAGGACCTCATCCAGTCCCTGTCACGGCCGAAGAGAACCCTCTCTCTCCACTCTGGCCATTCCAGACCCCGAGAGATGAGCGGCACAGCCGTCCGCCTCTGTCCGCTGCTGGTTCTCCGCCGTAGATTTCTACCCGGACTGTTTGGGGGAGGCGCTCTGGTTCTTATTTCCGGTGGCGGAGAGGTGCTGTTGCCATGGTAATTAAAGTAAAGGACTAGGCGCGTTGGGCTGCAGGGAGAGGACCGCGGAATCCGTGGAGAGAATTGGCTGCGCTTCCTCGTTTGTGAGCTGGAATTAGGTAGCGAACAGCTCGCGGTGTCTGTCCCTGCGCCGCGCCCTGCCACGCTGTCCGGCTTCCTGTTCTCCTACCTGCTTCTTTTCTCTGTCCTACTAACGTTTGGTCCGGTCGTACCTCATTTGTACCCCAAAACGCAGTTTGTTTCATCGTCGTGAAATACAAAACTAGAGGTTGCCCGAGATCATCTGCGAAATGTATTTCATGGAGTAGGGCCGGCGACTGGGCGGCTCTGTTTTCACTAGAAGCCTTAGGCGCTTGCTAACAGTTTATTTTTTCTTGCTATTGTGAGGTGGGTTATTTATGGAGCCGTTTGCTGCAGTGTGCTCTCTAGGCCCCTGTGTTGGCCTCGCGCTGGAGTTTTAAATGAGGGAGGTTTCCAAGCCTGAGGGGTGCCGTTATATATTTATTTAAGCTTCCGTTCCGTCTCTCGTCACAGAAAGGGAAAGACTAGAATTCTGGAACATTTGTGCTGTGGGATTTCCACGTGAGAGAGTCACCTTATTTGGAAAGAGTATTAATACGAGGACGATCCAAAAAAAAAATTTTCTTTTTTAAATTGCTTGCTGCAAAATGAACCTTCATTCTTCCTTTCTTATTGGAACCGTTTTTCACCCCCCTCCCACATTTGTGAGGAGATGCGTGCACGCATATGTGTTTAAAACTGATGCTTAATTATAGTGATATCAATTTGCAGTAACCAGACTGTGACACCACATCCCTATGGGGTCCTTCTAAATCTGGTGTAATATGAAAGTGTCAGGCAGGCAGTCTGTGTATTATAAATAGGGTACTTCATCCATGATAAGCGATTATTATCTTTCTTTCCCAAGTGTAAAAGACCTATATAATTCAAGAAGGTGCAAGTGATTTAGGCCTCCTGAGTAAGAATCCAATGAGTCCTGAAGGGGACCCTACCTGTGTCGTCTTATTGTTGAACTTGAAATATTCAATTTATTAGGTTGGAATGTATTTTTAGAAGTCAAAGCTGGGTAAAATAATGTTGGGAGCTGTTAGACCACCAGCACAATTTAGTGCCTCATAGTAACTGTTGTACAAGAAGCCTTCAGTCACATTAATAAAGAAGAAACTCTTATCAAAATTTACTGCCTCTTGTTACTGCTAGCTGGGTGACATCTCTGTCCCTCAATTTCCTTATCTGTAAAAGGGGCAAAAAAAAATACTTGACCACTGTAATGAGGATAAATTAAGATGTATGATAGTTCTTTAGGCCTTATGAGCAGAGGTGCTATATAACTCCACAACATTATTATTAGTGATGAATGCAGTAAAATCTCACAATAATGCTATAAATGGGATCTTAAAAATTGGGTTGTTTAAAATGTGGGCCTACATTACTGAGGCGTTGGTGGAATGACCTCTCAGCCTGCTGAGGTGAGGGGTGCCAACTGCCAATCACATGACATTCAAATTCTCATTATTGTGGAGTTCACTCTTATTACACTTTACTTAGCATTTAGTATGTGCAAGGCACTATTCTGTATGCTTCCCATGTATTAACTTATTCAGTCCTCATGACAATCCTATAAAGACTTCAACTCTCCTCTTATTTTTTTAGAGAATATGTGTGTGTGTTTCCTTTGCCCTGTGATACTTATTTTGTATTTATATTACATCTTTGCTTTGGCTTTGTTCTTTTGGCTCCCTCATATACACATGTATTTTTTTCTATATATATAGTTCTCTCATATATAGTTGATTTCTAAATATACGTGTATGTTTATATATATATATATACACATATATATACGTAAACTGCTGAAGGATTATTCTAGCTTAGCGTGTGATAATACAAGCATATGCGTATTATAATATTTGTCTTTTTCCCCACATATGAAACCTTTAATGTCTTGATTTCCTGTCCCCCACCCCCACCCAATTTGAGAGGCAAGGTTACATTTGCATTTTAGGGGATTAACACTGACTAAAATTTTAAAATTGTTTTCTAATAGAATGGCCATCAGTCCAGGAAGAGATGCAGCACTCTCCAGTCAGAAGTCAGCGCTTTCAGAGAGTCCTCGAACAAAGAAATTTCCACTAACTGAAGAAGAAATATTTTATATGAATTGTAGAGCTGCCTACTTAACTGTTTTTAAAAGTAGCTTAGAAAACATTATTTCTAAAGAACAACTTTACTTAGGTAAGTTTTTCTTTAAAATTTAAGTATTTTGCTTTATTTGTTGAAAGTTATTAGATCAGAAAGACAGGAATAAGAATTACAGTGTTGAATCATTCCAGTTTCTTAGGGAAGCTTGAGCAGTGAAACTACCTTATGCTATTGATTTTATATATTTATGTATTCTAGTAGCTTCAAAATAAAACATTCAATGTTTATACAGACTAGATTAGTATTTTTTTAAAGTTTTTAAAATTTATTTTGAGAGTCAGAGAGAGAATTCCAAGCTGGCTCCAAGCTGTCAGAGCAGAGCCTGACATGGAGCTCGAACTCATAAACTGTCAGATGATGACCTGATTTGAAATCAGGAGTTGGATGCTTAGCTGACTGAGCCACCCAGATCCCCCTTTAATTCGTGTTTTTAAAGTTTCCACCAATTGCTTGCTGTATATGTATACTTTTTCCTTTTTTTAATGTTTATTTGTTTTTGTGAGAGCATATGAGCAGGGGAAGAGCAGAGAGAGAGAGGGAGAGAGAATCTCAAGCAGGCTCCATGCTGTCAGCACAGAGCCCAGTGTGGGGCTTGATCCCGCAAATCCTGAGATCATGACCTGAGCTGAAATCAAGAGCTGAATACTTAACTGAGCCACCCAGGTGCCTGTTAAAAATATATTTTTAAAAATTCTTATTTTGTACTTTAAGATTTATAGTAATAGAATTTAAAACATTTTGGTATCTGAATTACTAGCCTGGATTTGACCTATACTGGGGAAAATGTAAAGAATATGTAAAAATGGGTTGAATGGGTAAAAGAGAAATACTAGGAAACAGGTAAAATTTTAAGAGAAGAGTGCTGTTTTTATTTTTTTTTGGAGGGGGAGGGGGAGCTGGTCTTTTTTTGCTTCTCTTTCTCCATTACCTTATGCAAAATTTCTCTGGTTGCAAATATCCATCAGACCAATGAATTTTGTCCTTGTCAGGTATATCAAATGATTTGGAGTTCTTTACTCTTGAGAGTGGTAAGCAATAGCAGATAACACTGAATACTCCTGTCCGTTTCATCAAGGCTAATAACTATGGATAGAAAAACAGAGTTATCTTGCCAACTTTAGAAGCGGTTCCCTTAAATTAAAAATTCTGACATTTTTGCAACAATGTCTTGGGTTTCTATGCAATAAGATCTCTATTTGAGGAAATCCATATTGGGGAGTATGAAAATTGAAAAGTTTAAAATTTATATTTTATTATAAACTATAATTATAGATTTTTTCCTTTATTCTTTTGGATTTTTCTTTGTAATGTTGTAATGACTGAGTTCAGATAATCTAGTTTTTTGAAATGTGATTAAACCAGTGATATCTCTTTCTTACTTTGTCTTTCATCTATATCTTTCTGCCATTTATGCATTTAACATGTGCTATGACATTCCATTTCAAGGTTGGACAGAGCAGTACTATTGCCAGAGCCTTAGAGTTTCTTTTTTCCCCAACTTATAAATAATACAGGTGTTATAGACTCATGTCACAGCTTAAAGTAAACCCTGGCAAAAGATAGGTATTTTGGTGTAAATCTTTAAATATTTACAGTTACATGTTTCTTTTTTTTTAATTTATTTATTTTTTTTAATATTTTTATTTATTTCTAGGAGAGAGAGGGAGAGAGAGACAGTGTGAGCAGGGGAGGGTCAGAGAGAGAGAGGGAGACACAGACTCTGAAGTAGGCTCCAGGCTCTGAGCTGGCAGTCAGCACAGAGCCCGACGTGGGGCTCGAACCCACAAATTGTGAGATCATGACCTAAGCAAAAGTCGGACGCTTAACCGACTAAGCCACCCAGGCGCCCCTACAGTTACATGTTTCTACTGCTATCAGACATAGTAACGGGTTCCAACTAATTCTAAATTTAGAAGTTAAGTTAGATTAGCAATTAGTAAACTATACCTATTTCTTAGATAGGAGAATATCTACTTATTGAGGACATGTTTAGGCATAATTAATTTTATTCTGAGAAAGTTTTTTTGGTACTATTAATTAATTAATAGTACTGTTTCGTTACTGAAAATAGCAACAAGTGTATGCTGACCTTCCACTTGTGACAAAGAGTTACACACCTATTTTCCCAAAGCTGTCCAGAAAATAGCATTGTCTTTCTTTCTTTTCTTTTTTTTTTTTTTTAAAGTATTTTCTACTCCCAGCGTGTGGCTCCAACTCCCTGAGATCAAGTTGCATGCTCTATCCACTGAGGAAGCCAAGCACCTGAGCATTTTCTTTAACATGGACTTTTGGCTTCAAATCACAACTTCATTTAGGTCCTACTTGTAGTCTTGACTTTTAAAGGGTAGACATTGGCTGGGGATGGAATCCTAAAACACATGTACCTTTTCCCTGACTCTCTTAATAGATGAATTATGGAATTGTCCGTATTTATG